ACATTGCAACAACAATGGTCTCGCAACAAGGGTGTCCAAAACAACCTGCGCTCGCGCACTTGCAAATCCATAAGAATCAACATTTAGTCACATGCGACCAAACGGGCCTATCGCGCGCGCATGCCGAAATCGTTCGGACGCCCTTGCGCGCGTGCCGGGGGGGGGGACGATCCCTGTCAAATAATGCAATGCGGGCCACTCGCGGGCGTCGGCGGCGCGCGCATGTCGAAATCCGTATTACAATTTTCATCGCCGACGCGAAGATACCATCATCGTCATCGGCGTGATCAGCAGTGTCGCCGGCACTGCCCTTGCCGTCGTCACGATCATTATCGTCACCAGCATCGTAACTATGATAAGCGTGTCTGCCGTTGTCGACGTCGCCATGATGCCACGCCCGCCCGACTCACCGATTCGCACTGAAGTGCCAAGGGCGCCAGCGCGGCCTGCGAGACGTGCTGGGAAGTCCCCAGCAGTCGGCGCCACCGCGGCCTTGTCGGTCGCGCTAGACAAGCTGGTCGCTCTGCTCTCGAACCAGCGCGTTGGCGCGGCCGCGGCGATGCGCCAGCCAGTGCCGAGCAGTCATCGCAATCGTCGCCGCATGAGTTTTGCAAGCCAAAGTGCGGGTGGGTGATGACTGCAGCAGTGGAGCTGACAACTTCAAGCTCGGCAGGGTGAATTGCACCACTTTGATTCCCTTGCTCTAAAAAAGCATTGGGTTCCACCGCCCACCCGAGACAGGATTTATCCGCCCCCCCTGGGGATGCGCAGCCCATAGTTCATTCTCACTGTGAACTCACACAATATCATCCCTGACCAAAGCAGCAGCATGCCCGCGCATTTCTACATCAGCTGAGATATTGATTCAAGAGCCCCGTGCAACAATAACGAAAAAGACGAAGTGCACGCGCGCGCGCGCGCCGTCGCGCGCGCATGCCGAGCGCCTTCGAACAACTGAGGCATCGTAAACGAATTCGACATCGAGTGTACCGAGAACTTCTTAAGTTGAAGAAAAACATGGTTTCGAAACAGGAATGTTCCCATTGAGTTCGA